CCGGCAAGGTTTGCCGTGGATCAATTCTCGTGAATTCAAAAAATCGATAAATCAATCCGCGGGCCTTATTACATCAATGTATCTCAGGCTACAATACATCGGATAACTTATCCTGTCGACATGAAAATACCCCTCCCCTAAGCCAACATTAACACTTACTTCTCGCTTAGGGCAAAATGATGGCTTAGGGGATAGGTGGGTGGGCAGTTTCCAAGAACCCTAAATTGATCCAAAGGGTTAAATAATGAAAATATGATAAATATGGAAGTCTGAATATTGAATATTGAGGTTTGAATTTTGAATATTGAAGTTTGAATACTGAACATTGATGTTTGAGTATTGAATATTGAATACTAAAAACGAAGTATTCCGCTTCCATCCCCGAGAACAAAGTAGTACTTTTTTCATTTTTTATGTCACTGGCTTTGCTATTTTACGAAAAGGAATTCAAATGAAATACATAACAGAACCTAGAGAAAAAAATTATGAAGTGTACGGAAAACAAGGCAGTGAAAATTTAGTTGATATCAGTCTGTAAACTCATTGGATTAATGCACGCCTTTAAACTCGATCGGCAAAGTCAAGTTATAAAATCGTACAAAGTAATTTCAGTATTGGAGCAGCACGTTTGTCATATGTTACTGTTTGTAATGCAGTGTGTGGATGGTGCTTGTAAGAATCTAGCTCTTAACAGACCATTCAAATGACAATTTTGTAGTGTAATGCCTTTTTGCATGCCTTGAAGTTGTTTAAAATTGGTTTCAATCCGAGCTTTTCTTTCAACTCATAGAAAATCCCTTTTTAGTCTCGCTTGCGTAAGCAGCGAGACTCATAATCTGCAACGCGTTTTTCGCCCCCGGGGGTAGTCCCTTATATAGGCTATATAGGTAGAAATTGCGATGGTTGGGTGTTGTAAAATTTCACTGTGTGTCTTGTGATGCGCATGCGATTTATTTTCGGCGATGTTTGAAATGACGTGCCATGTAAATCACCTTTTCGATATCTGGAAATGATGTAATTTCTCTGTAATCGAGGCCCTTGAATTTTCGTGTATTTATACACGCGTATAGCCTGCTACTGGAGAGGTATTTTTAGTCGTCGCTAACACGTGCACTAAATCAATTCAGAAACAGATAAAAAGTATCGACGTCGATAAAGTAAAATTAAACTTTCCGTGCCTTTGTCAACGTCTTAGTTTTGCTTTGCGTTATTTTCCTTACCCATATGTGTTGTCTGCGACTGTGCTCACACGGTGGGTGGCTCCTCCTAAAATGTTCTGCATTTGGTATAGGATTTAATGGAGCCGAAACCAATTGTGGAATTGCAAGCATTTTAGCCATCCTACTGACGAACAGTTGGGACACGTAGATATATTTTTTAGCAACTACTATAATTTGCAGTCTGTCTACTTTGAATTTAATTGGACTTGGAAAATCGTACTTTGTCATCATAATAATTTCATATTAGCTTCGAGTTTTGTTACGAGAACTTAAACAGTACTTCCAAGTCGCCTTTTGCATTGTTGATGATCTTTTTATTATCGTTGCTTTAAATTCACCATACTATAAGAATTTTCTAGATTCATAACTTCTCAAGGTGTTCATGATCACGATTTAAATATTTTGTAACAGAGACATAATGGTAACAGTCACAAGATGGTAACAGGCGGAATATCTTACCAAGTGTCACTCCGACGGTCCAGCAAAACAAAAGAGTCCAAAAAACATAGGGTTGCTTCATAACTCTTCGAGGTTCTCCGTTCAGCAACTGTAGTCTCTGACACACCTCACTAGCCGCTGTGCATATTTATTACAGCAGATTCACAGGCCGCCCAAGCGCATTAGATGAACGCGGAAGTGACTCTTGCTTGCGAGCGGTGTTGTGTTACAAAAGGTTATTTAATAAAAGCTTCTATGGGATGTAAACGGTTTTTCTAAAAAGAGAGAAAAAATGTTATGTTTTTAAATAAAATCGACGTACCTTATTGCTTTGTTGTATTCTTTGTTGTTTGCCCGCGTCTCAGGCCGTTTTGAAGCGTTTTCGGCGAGTTAGCGCTGTTTTGGTGTTGCACTGCTAAGAGAAAGACTAAGGTGTCTCTTAGCAGTGGAACACCAAAATAGCGCTAACTCGCCGAAAACGCTTCAAAACGGTCCGATACGCGGGCAAACAACAAAGAATACAACAAGGCAACGAGGTACGTTGATTTTTTTTTAAAACATAACATTTTTTCTCTCTTTTAAGAAAACCGTTTACATTCCATACAAGCCTTTGTAAATAACAGTTTGTCACACAACACCACGTCCGCGTTCATGTAATAAGCTTGGGCCGCCTGTGTATGAACGCGACAAGCTGCACGGTTTTCGATTTTAACAGCTTTTCACGTGTTACGTACAAAAGATAAATACACAAAAGCTAACCGAATCCACAAAAGCCCATTTGTCCTGAACATTTAACCGATAATATAGAAAGCAAATACTTCCGCTCTGCGCTTAAACGACGACTTTACAACAAGATGATGTATCCGGCAAAAGAAAGAATAGGCCCGGTTGGGGGGGTGGGGAGCGGAGGGCACTCACTTCCTTATCAGAGGCTAATTGGGATGTGCCGCTGAATGGGGTCGAATATTCACGACTGGATTGACTATAATGGCGTTGCATTTTCAATAGAGTTACTAGAATGGGGTCGCACGTTTTCGGATTTTTGGGGTAAGAGAATTGTTCATATTTACGGTTAGCAAACGTACCAGATATTTGTACTGTAGGTGAAAAGAAAAGTGTTCTTCATTCAATTTACAAAAAAAAAGTTCAATTCATTTTTTTAAGACCTGTATTTAAAGGATTGATAAGGTAAATATATTGTTTAAAGAGTACGTAGCTCTGTAAGTAGACACGAACCAAGACAGCGTGTGATGGCCTTGCTTGTCTGCTGCGCATACTCGGTACGGCGACGACAAATTGATTATAATAAACACCATAGTCTCCTTCGCAGCGTTGCGTGACATCCAAAAAACGGCTGCAAGGGAGACTTACACCACCACTACTGTACATGTACACAGCATGTATTATTTGTAACAGTCGGCTTCCCATAACTCGAACTTTCAAGGGAAATGACCAGATATGCCTCTCACACAAGAAAAGAACCGCTGATTAAATCTTAAAATTTCCAACACTGTTATTAACGTCTCGTTTACTGTATTGTTGATAGATAGATTGTAATGTAACAGTTACAGCATTATTTTTTGCTCTTGATCATTCACGCACAATACTGGTTTCGTTCAGGAAGTTGTCAAAAACGACAGTTTGGCAGATGCCGCCATCTTTTTTAATTTACCGTCGTAAAATTAGTAGAAAAGAATTTTAAAACTGCAGCTTTTTTGAGCTATTTTTCAACGATGACATTTTTTGGCATGTCGCGCCGCGGCTCCTTTTCTCTTGATTCGTGTGCGGATATTAGTGGACTGGGTACAAAGTGTACTCGCGAAATTGAAAAAGGCAGTGTGAGAACTAATTTAATTTGCGCTTCTTTGAAGCATCGTGAATGAAGCTTTCAAAGCGGAACGTTCCATAGGTGTGGTTAGTTGCAATTTGCGCCAAACTAAGTGAGAAAAAATTCGGATTTCATGTTTCTGACCTATGATTTTGTGACACTACGCTTTCACTTCAAGCAAATTTTGGATAAACATTTCGGACAGTCAGCTGAACGATTCCCACATTTGGGCGAGGCGCTGTCATTTACGAGCAACACAGTTCTGTTCGAAAAGTCTAAAAGCGTAAAAATGACGTACAAAAATGTTAGTTAACAATAAAAATGATAATAATGATTGATAATTCTGAATAAGTGTCCATTGCGGCTTTGTCCCGGGGAGGTGCTCTTTTATGTAGTTTTCGGTACGTAGGTATCTTAGCCGACCCTATTTCTTGTTACATTGAAGGGAATTCACTCATTACAATGCATGCTAACATTCTTTATTGTTCGTTTTTCAGTTTTAAATTAGCTGATTTATCGAGTGTCGTTTCTTAACTAACATCTTGAACCATTTAAGTTCCTGCCTGAGCTGATTTTGCTTGAAATTTTCATTACTTGTTCACTTCATTTTTTTTAACTGTAGAGTAAACAAAACAAGATTTGTTAAGTAGTGAAAACCTTTACAAAGTAAGTGCGAAAACAAATCTGAAAGCCTAAACCTCTCGCTTCTAGAGTCAACAACTGAGTCATGTGTTGCAATTGTCCTTTTTACTAATACGGCGGCCATATTGAATTAATTAGATTTAAGGAGTATTATGGGTTGCCCGGGGGGCATGAGCACGATCTGATGTACTCGCTCACTATTTACGCGCGCTTTTCGGGCCAATTTTTCTTTACGTTTTCCAAGAAAAAGAATGTAATGGGAAAAAAAGATCGTTGTGCCGTGTTTGGGTGTAATAATGATCGCCTTTTTCCCGAAAAATGCATATTGAAGTTCTCTTTTTGCCCGAAAAGCGCGCGTAAATACTGAGCGAGTGCCCCCTGGGCATCCCACAATACTCCTTAAATCTAATAAATTCAATATGGCCGCCGTATCGGTAAAAAGGTCTATTCGATTATTTGTGTATGGTCTTTGAATTGAAGGATGCAGCCACCGTGCCGTCAAGAAGCAATAGGGGGTGGGTCCGCAATGCGTACACAATGACTTAAGTCTCTTATCTTGATTAGCAGTACCCGCATTTACTCCCTCGGGTGCCAAATTTGGGCCCTGGCAAATCGAATTGTGTAAATAGACCTTTAGGGCCTGTTTACAGGGAGGGAGAGTAACCCAGCAAGAGGGACTAGCATACATCATGACTTTCGACCATCCACACGCGGACAATTTACACTTACGACATCCACAATGTGTTGTGGGAATGTCGCGGGTCTAATTTACACGACACAATCTGTCGTGGAGTCATGACGCATGCTAGTCGCGCACGATAGTTGACGACGATAGTATAAGAAAGCAAAAATCGTACCGTATAAGTCGGCCTTCAGTTACTCTTTCTTTTAACACAGGGCGCCCAAGGAAATTCACCTCCTTCTGGCAAAGTAGTCCATGTTCCAGTAGATTTAGAGTATTTATAGGATTTTGCATGAGGTTTCTCTGGTACAAATCCTTCCTTGCAAGAAACCTGGCAAATTGTATCCCAAATAACATCTATGCAGCTTAGGTTTCCGTTGCCCAGCTCTGGTGCCTTAGGAAGGTTACCTGTGGGGAAAATAAAAGTTTTTAACGAGGGTCTGTCAGAAGGATGTTGTTTGTTTGGTCAATTCTGTGTCTGGCATTGCTAAGTGCCTTTACTAAAAAAAACTCAAAAATCCTCCTGTAGAGGTAAGAAAAGGTATAAAACAAATTTCAACAGGAAGCCCAAACGTTGATCATTTGGGGGTGTTTTGTTGTAGCCATAACATTATTTGATAAATTGGCCCAATTTTTTCACGTTTCAATCCACCTTCGTCCTTGCCACCGTAGCAGTAAGCGATGAGAAACAGTTTCAATGCCTAAATATTGTCTTAAATAACAAAACGGGACCATTATTTTTGGAATTCAATTGATACCGGCTAAGACACTTAAGCTCTTTAAAAAGATGGCAACATAACATAACATAAACTTTATTTATACTCGAATTTTAGAGTATCTAACAAGCTAATATCTTCGAGCTGACACTACATAAAAAAATAAGATATAAATATATCTATACATTAAATACATTATAAGTAATAATAATAATAAAATTATAACAATAATAATAAACACATTAAAGAAAAGAAAATACTATTTACAATTCACAATTTTAAGTTCAAGTATGTCAAGCAAAAAGAATCTACATGGAGGTAACGTCCTGTATTTTGGTCTTAAAGTCTGCCAAAAACACTGGTACAAAAAAAGTCCGGTAGTGCATTTTACTGCTTAGCTGAAAAGTAAGTAAAGGAGTTTGCACCATAGGTAGTTGTTTTAGGTTTACTAAGTGAAAGAATGTAGTTGCCACGAAGATCATAGGAAGAGGACCGGAGTGAAAACACATTCTTCACATAAAGCAGGAAAATGAGTGAAAAATAAACTCTTATGTAACAATATGAGGAAATGGCGTGACCCTTTGATAACTTTTAGGTGATGTTAGCAACGCCGGCAAGGTTTGCCGTGGATCAATTCTCGTGAATTCAAAAAATCGATAAATCGATCTGCGGGCCTTATTACATTAAGGTATCTCAGACTACAACACACCGAATTGCTTATCCTGGGCAACTGCCCACCTACCCCTCCCCTAAGCTAACATTAACACTTACTTGTCGCTTAGGGCAAAATGATGGCTTAGGGGATGGGTGGGTGGGCAGTTTCCCAGAACCGTAAATTGATCCAAAAATACTCCGGTCTGGTATGAACAACAGTTTAGAATGCCACGAAGATCGATCAAGATCGCAGAAACGGCTTCGTTCTTATATGAGAACAAAAACTCAATCCGATGTGGTTTTTGTGCCGATGCAAGAGCTACCCGGCATATTATTGAAATAGCTTCTTAATAACCTTAGTTAAAGTTGCATTCTCTCTTTCCAAATGTGGCTTTTGTGTGAACACTGTTGGGACCCTCAAGAAGTGTCGGTCTTAGAGAGATTGTACAGAATAGAGAGCCTAACGCCTTTTAGAGACTCTAAGAAAGTGATTAACGCACTGCAGGAACCGATGCTCGGTGTCCATGTTAGGGAGATGTATCTTAAAAAATTGCTCGTTAAGATAGTTGACTGTTTTTCATCGTGCAGATATTTTATGAATTAGAAATCACTGCAAACACACATATTCGAAAGTTAGTGTGAATACAAAGTAGTACTTTATTCATTTTTTATGTCACTGGCTTCGCTATTTTACGAAAAGGAATTGAAAGGAAATATATAACCCAGAGGAAAAAAATTGAGTTGATACCGGTCTGCAAACTCATCGGATTAAATGCACGCCTTTAAACTCGATCGGCAAAGTCAAGTTATAAAATCGTACAAAGTAATTTATTTGAGCAGCACGTTTGTCATATGCTACTGTTTGTAATGCATTGCGGCGATGGTGCTTGTAAGAATGTAGCTCTAAACAGACCATTCAAATGAAAATTTTTAGTGAACTGCCTTTTAATATGCTTTGAAGTTTTTTAAAATTGGTTTCAATCCGAGCTTTTCTTTCAACTCATAGCAAAATCACTTTTTGTCTTTTATTTAAACTGCTGTTTTCTTTTTCTTTTTCTTGCAACATTTGAAAATAGGACTTGCAATGGGTAATTCAAATTGACACTGAAGTCGATAAGAACGATTATTTCTATTATATTGTCTCTGGACCTCTGAACGAGCCATATTATCAGAAAATTAAACTTTCCGTGCCTTTGTCGTTGCAAAATTATTCAGTAACATTCGTACCTTGTCATCATCTTAATTTCATGTTAGCTTCGATTTTTGTTACGACAACTTGAACAGTACTTCCAAGTCGCCGGTTGCATTGTTGATGATCTTTTTTATCATCTTAGCTTTGCCTTAAATTCACCATACTCTAAGCATTTTCCAGGTCCATAACTTCTCAAGGTGTTNATAAGAACGATTATTTCTATTATATTGTCTCTGGACCTCTGAACGAGCCATATTATCAGAAAATTAAACTTTCCGTGCCTTTGTCGTTGCAAAATTATTCAGTAACATTCGTACCTTGTCATCATCTTAATTTCATGTTAGCTTCGATTTTTGTTACGACAACTTGAACAGTACTTCCAAGTCGCCGGTTGCATTGTTGATGATCTTTTTTATCATCTTAGCTTTGCCTTAAATTCACCATACTCTAAGCATTTTCCAGGTCCATAACTTCTCAAGGTGTTCACGATTTAAATGCTTTGTATCACAGACATAATTAGTAACAGTCACAAGGCAATAACAGGCGGAATATCTCACCAAGTGTAAGTTCGACGGCCCAGCAAAACAAAAATAGAGTCCCAAAAACATAGGGTCGCTTCATAACTCTTCGAGATTCTCCGTTCAGCAACTGTAGTCTCTGAAGTTATTACGCCGCCAGAGCTCATTAGCCTCTGTGCATATTTATTACAGCTGATTACGATTATTAACGCATAAAAACAAAATAGTACCTACACTAAGCGGCTAATAATGTAATCAAGAGATATTGGTCTAAGTCACATTCAAACACAGGTGGACTAGTTTAATTTATTCCAGAATGATCATTGGTCGAAATAGAAGCTGAGCAAACTCAAAACGTGTGGGCTTATTAAAAAAATATATCAAAGTCAATGACTTCAGTGCATTTTTGCCAAAATTTGTTATTCGCTGGGTGTCCCTGTGTTCAACGTGTTGTTCGATAGATTAGTTTCTTTAAAGAGAAATGAGGAAACCGACCTTGTATTTGCACTTTGTACCGGATAAGTTGATCAAAACAAACAGAAAAGTGTAGTGGAAGGAAATTTTAAGGGAGTTTTGTTTCAATGCTAGGGCAAGAAATTAAACCTACTTATGCGATTGAATGAAAAAAAAGGTGTTTATACTTAAAATATTTCAAAACAATATCAGTGGATTAAATAGAATGGCTGTTCCTTCTTGAACACCATAGTCTCCCTCGCAGCGTTGCGTGACATCCAAAAAACGGCTGCAAGGGAGACTTACACCACCACTACTGTACATGTACATAGCATGTATTATTTGTATACAGTCGGCTTGCCATAACTCGAACTTTCAAGGGAAATCACACAAGCAAAGAACCGCTGATTAAATCTTAAAATATCCAACTCTGTTATTAACGTCTTGGTTACCGTATTTGAATTTATCCCTTTACTGCTTGGAGCAGTCAAATGTTTAAGTTAAAAAAAGAAATTCCCAATTTCAGTTTTGTAGGATACTGAAAAAGAATTACTATTATGACAATTTTCGCCGAAAATTTTTCGATTAGCTAGCCACACCAAAAAAATTTCATCCGAAGACTCAAACGTAAAAACCACCTTGTACAGCATAATTAAAGTAATACAGGGAAGTTAACTGTTCAGCAACTTTCAATTGAATTGTCACACCGTAGGATCAATTTTAACCTTAGATCAATTTCGTCTCCAGACTCTCAAAAACTACATTACAAACCTCCTCAATCGACCTTTGAAGTATAAGGGTTGAATATTTTTGAAGATGCAAAATTGAGCTAACTGCCGCTTTTTGCAAAACGTCATTGACACATGTACCATACAACCGAAAACTAATTATGTCAAACTTTATTGAATCACATATTGAAAACTGAATGTGCTCAGTTCCTTTGATGTAATTGCGTCGAGTCGCCCGATTTAATTTACTGTTATCTTTGAATTGTTATTACTTTTCTTTTGTTGCCAGAATATAAAAGCGGCTTGTCATCTAAAGGTATTCATTGTTTTATCGTCTAACGGAAGATATCGTCATTAACGCCTTCTATGGATTGTAATTTGCTTGATATAATTCATGGAGTACAAATAAGTGTTTTGTTCAGAACAAGAAGTTTGGAATATTTCGGGTTAAAGACAGCACCGCCACATGAACAACCGGTATCTGGGTGTATAATGTGTTAGTTAGCTAAAACTGAGCTTACATCGACAAACTATTACTATCAAAAGCTGAAACCTTGTGTAGAGGCGTTATGTTTTTAGCTTTTTTTCTGACATTGTACGTGTTTTGTTCATCTGAAGGGAATCAAGGTAAGACTGACTTATAATTTAATATTCTACCAAAGAAATAAATGTCCTCCAAGTTATGATCCCCCTAGGTTATAAGAGACTTCAATGTAGGTAAGAACAGTGTTCCACTTCAATTTGATCATGATGCTATGAAACATCTTTTTTAAAACTTATCGATCGGTATTTTTCCCGACTTTTGAACGAAGTAGTTCCTATGGATTACGTCCGATGTCTTCATTACGCTTCCTACGAATTATAGTTAGAATTATTGTAAGGCTGTAAGTTATATGGTAAAATTTAGAGCGGTTTTCACTTGACTGTCGAAAGGGATTGGTTTTGGTTTTGGTTTTGGTTTTACTAAGCCCTTTGGTTGGCTAGTGTATTTACTTTGGTTTTGGTTTTACGACAGTCAAGTGAAAACCGCTCTATCACTTGAAAGACCTTGCATTGGTATAAACGGGGGTATTCTTAAGTTCAAACCAATATCATGTAAACCGTGTGCCCGCTCCCCAACCCCCCCCCCAACCTACCAAAAAAATACAGCCGATTATAAGCCCCTCCCCCCTCTCTAGCTTTTGTTCCAAATGTTCTGAAATGACCTCGATTTATCAAGACGTTTTGAAGCTCAATGAAAAACCAGTTAAGGCAAAACGTACTTTGATGATTGCTGCTATAGCTAGTTTCGAGGCGCTTTTTCTATTTTTGTTATAAACCCCCTCTGTTATAAGCACCTCCGTTTCTAAGCCTTCCTAAAGCCCCTACGGAGGACTTATAAGCCCTGGGGCCCGTTTCTCGAAAGACCCGGTCACTTTTCGCGCCCGAAATCAAATATTCAAATCGAAATATAAAGAATGAGAGCGCGGGTCCTGGCTAGAAAACTACTCCATTTTGTTTCATGAACTGATAGTTTTGTCCTGTTAGATGCAAACTGTTGAAACCTCTATCTTGAATGTAAACAATAACAGCTTTACGGGCCCTTTAATTATCGGGACTTTCGAGAAACGGGCCCCTGGGCTTATTAATTAGCGGTAGTTTACGGTGTGTCAACTTTCTATTTACTAGGTTGTTCACCTTATGACGTTGCGCTGACAGCTTCCCTACCTGACGAAAACTTTCAAGCGTCGTCAGTCCTTGACTCAAATCTTAACCAACCATACATGGCCAAGGTTGGTGGTGATAAAGAGTGGTGCCCCTCGACGGCTTCCGTCTTTGAGTTTATTCAAATCGATTTCTCCTCGCCGTACCGAGTATGTGCAATAGACACGCAAGGCCATCACACGCTGTCTTGGTTCGTGTCTACTTACAGGGTTGCGTATTCTTTAAACGGTTCTTCCTGGGCTGACGTAACGGCGGAGAATAAAAATATTTTGGTGGGTATGCAATTTGAAATGTCCAGCTTTTCTGTTATGCAATAGACGTTTTGTTTTCCCTACAAAGAAATCTTCATATTCCAGCAATTTGCTTTGTAAATTACCTTGGACATCTGTGCACTGTTAGACCTATTTTTGTATGGGAAGGTACCAGCCTCGTTCTCGGCGATTTCGGATGTGACGTCACCTTGTCGGGAAAATTCGTCTAGAGAGATAAGAAGTCGTTACGTTAAGTTGCCATGGAAGCAAAATTTCTGGACCTCAACAAAATGGGGTCCTGCAAAAATGACAGGAAAAAATGACATGTTAGACTTTCCTACGCGTGATTGCACTCAGGTACAAAACTATAGTCTATACTTCTCTTCCATCGTTCGGCAATGCAAATGGCCGTCTCTTTCAAGAAAGATTACTAAGACCGAGAAATTTTGCTACATGGGGACATGACGTCGCACTTCTCTCTATTGCGCTGGGCTCCAAGTCTCCTCTGCTCGCTTGGATAGCGCAAACTGGCCAGGGGACGAGGCTGGGAAGGTACAGTACAAATCACAGATCCTTAGCGCGCCAAGTTAGTAATTTGAGACTGAGATAACTAAGCCATTCTTATTGACTGTAGATTTTTGCTGGAAATGCTGATGGTGACACTGTGATCAGGAACGCATTGAACGATAGCTCAAGTTTCGTTACCAGGTTCCTACGTATTTATCCTTTGACGTATGGCACCTGGCCGTGTTTGAGGGTAGAGGTGTACGGACGAGGTATTCACTTTATCTTGTAATTCCTTAATGCTTACATTCTCCAACCTAGAGCTCTTCTCTATTACGCATGACAGGACTGCTAAGGACAAGGGCAGCCATAAGATCCACAAAAGGCTCTTGTGACGATATATACTTCTTGCTTTATCGCTTCACTGCAGGAAAATAATGCTCATATCAGTAGCCAATTTCCAAAAACTCTCACTGTCAAAAAGAAGCTACGTGTAAAATGTTACTCGTGAAAATGAGATTCATTTGCGTGAGAATAAAAAATGATCTTCATATCAATGGTTTCACGCTTAGCCTCGCTTTGAAACAGAGGCTTGGTGCAACTTGGAAAAGGTCTATCGTTTTAAAGGCTATCTTGAGATTGCGCTCGTTCCCAGGGTCTTTTCCTACTCGTCCCTACAGAGCAAGAGAGGCCGTGAGAACAAGGTTGTCATGAGACTTGGACGGTGTCCTGTCGATTGTACAATGGGTCTGTCTCTCTCCCATAGTGAAATTCGATACCACACCGAACAAGTCTGAAGTGTAACCTCAGAACAGCCGAAAGGGGGCTTTGTTGTGTTGCACTTGCGTGTACTATATGGTTGATTAGGTTGGTTATGTCGTGGGAATTGCTCATTAGGGAGCTTACGCAAAGACATTTTTGAGCGACGCACATCAACCGTTAGTGAGGCCTCTTTCATTTTATTATTCCTTATTAATGCAACCAAATTTGTATGGCTAAGTGTCTTTACTCTTATAGAGACGATTTGCTGGAAAACTTGGGCAAAACCACTGCCCAAGCATGCAACAAGTCCAAGTTGATGTGAGTCGTTCAAAAATGTCTTTCTTTAAGCTGCCTATTGTCTTTTGTATTGCATCGTTCGGTCATCGCACCATCTGTAACACCGAGAAACTATAATCATATCTAACTGCTAATCGATCCGTTATTCCTTTTCTTGACTTCAGAATTACCATCCCTCGACCCTAGACTCCCTCTCAATAAAACAGTGACGGAGGGAAATTCGTTCACTCTTCACTGTTTGCCGCTGGGAAATACGAACGCTGTTAATGTAACTTGGATAAGGAACAATAGAAGTAATTCCCCATTTGCCGTGTCTGTAAACCTCACAGTCAACGCTACCAGATTTGACGCGGGTGAATACAACTGTTTAGTAACCAATGGAGTGGAGTCTGTTATCTCGTCGATTGCTTATGTGGATGTTCTGTGTAAGTATGTTGCCAACAAACACATGGGGCCTTTTTAAATGTAAATATAACAATAAATTAATGTATTATTCTCTTGCTGCTGATGATTAACCTCTTCCTCGTCTGAGTTTTACTAAATCTCTTCTCCAGTTGGCTTAATCAGTTCAACAGGAAAACATTAACTTGATCTATGTAGTCTAACCTCCCGTAAGCGACCACTCATAACGCTGAGATTTGCAAACAGCTCACTGGAGCTAAGGGAAAACTGAGTTTTGGATTTTTTTTTTTGATAGATGTTCTGACATGAAGGTCCGAACGCAATTATTGCTTCATCTGAATTTTTCAATCATTTTCAAGGAATAATTTCAGGTTATAAAACGTTCAATATGTCTTGTCAGATGCAATTCAGTACATGTATGTTGCTATACGTGTCTTGCGTTACGGATCGTTACGCGTAAATTTTAAAGAAAAATGCACGCGGCCTACTTCACCAGTACGAGAGCACAGAAAACATAAGTACGTACAAATGCTTGTTGTTGTTGATGCTGTTTTTTGTTTTGTTTTGCTTTGCTTTGCAGACCCACCGTCACTAGATTTTAGCTTTCCATATGACCACACGGTCACCGAGGGCAATAATCTCACTCTTCAATGCAAAGTGACAGCTGCCAATCCCACACCAAACATCAAGTGGTACAATGTTTCTGCCACAAAAATGCTGATTTCATACAAGGACAACTTGACGTTTGGACTTATCACCAGATCTCATGCAGGGAGATACCAGTGTGTTGTCGAAAATGGAATCGGGCAACCTGCAGTATCAAGGATAAGTACCGTTGATGTGCAATGTAAGTTGATTCAAATAATGTTACTAAGGTATTGGGTGTCGTCCCTCAGGTTTAGTGATCACTTTAGACCGTTTTGCAATTGCATTAATTAGGTGATATCACTTAAATTTGCTGAATCTGTAAGAACCGACTAGAAAAATTGTGGACCCTAGTTCGCACGTGGTCGTTGTTGAAACGAGACCCCAGATGTTCAATGTTGGACAAAAGCATTTTCCAGCAGTTTGCGCTTTTTTTTCATGAATTTTCTTGATATCGTTTTCTTATCCATGAAATAAGCTATTTATTCGATGGATAACATTATTCATTTTTGGACTGAAAACACCTGAACCTGAAATACCTTTTTAATAAAGGGCGCTTCCTTTTACACTTATATTCACAAAATATTTAAGGACTTTGCTGAGAGAATTGTGAAAACTGGTGATATGAAGTTCAATTCTCCTGAAAACCACATACCCATAAGAGAATTGAGTAGTTGTTGAAAAAATATCATTGTATTCATTACAACTTTTAGAAGAAATTGGCGCTTACAGCAAGGAACCCAAACGTGCGACCGATTTAGATTTGTTCACATTCTTTAGTAAAGATTTCATCCAATCAGAAGCCAGCTGGAAACTGTCCCCGACTTCTGATTGGTTGATGTCTGCATGAAAGAATGTGAGTTAATTAAACGTGGTCTGCAGGAGGGAGGTGCCGTCTCTAGGGTAAACATTGGTTCACTGATCACTGCCAGTGTGACGTCACGTCATACATCGGTGATTTTCAAAATGGCGGGCACATTTCTTTATCGTTACGTTGCAAAGGATGTCAATTTTCCGAATGTTTGGATTCATCTTTTGCCGTCTTCAATAAGGCAGAGCTTTTTTTTTCTGGTGGTCTCACTTTGGGCTCCTTGCTATAAGACTCTCTTTGAAGATGGGAGATATATGTTGACACTCCTTATACTTCACTTTCAGATCCACCCCTACTCGATACCACATATCCACGTGACCACACAATCACCGAAGGCAGTATTATCACTCTTCAGTGTAAAGTGACAGCTGCCAATCCTCAGCCAAACATCACGTGGTACAGTGTTGCTATAAATAACACAGTTCTATCGTATGGAGTCAACATTACATTTGTGAACATCTCAAGAAATCATACAGGGAAATACTATTGTCTTGTGGACAATGGTATAGACAAGGTTGTGACGTCACGAGTCAGTACAGTTAGTGTGCAGTGTAAGTTAACTGCTTAGAATGTCTTATTTTTTCAAGTCGGGAGTGATAATTTCAGTTAGAATGGGTAATATTCAGAATTTTTATCCTATAACGTTGGAAGACTATCGATCTATGAAAGTAGGAGTGGAATCTTGGCAGTTCGGCTCTTTTTAAGTGACATTGGATTGTCTTTGCCTTTCTGATAAGTCTTCCTCTCTTCTAAGTATGGGAACTTCGGACCAGAATCCGAGAATATTCTTCGTCTCTATCCAAAACTGTCCCTGTTCTTTTTTTTTTTCCAGATATTTCTATTTTAGATATATGGCCTGCGAGGCAGGCCCCGGGAAGTGACGGTCGTAAGAAAGAATGAATCGCACGAGGGAGAAACAAGCCCCGTTCTTTCTTGCAAAAGAGCTTCCAACCGCCTGCTACGCAGTCAATTTCAGATATATTCCAGTCTGTGCACTCTGTTTTCGCGTTGATATCGTTAAGACACTTAACGTAACTCACCAATAATCTTTGCCTTCTTTCAGATCCTCCATCACTGCAAACCACGTACCCTCGTGACAACACGGTCGTAGAAGGCAATAAACTTACTCTGCTATGTAAAGTGACAGCTTCTAATCCGAGGCCAAACATCACGTGGCACAGTGTTTCCGCAAACAACACAGTACTATCTTATGGAGCCAACTTCACCTTTTCTAATATCTCAAGACATGATGCTGGAAAGTACTATTGCGTTGCTGATAATGGTATCGGCAAAGCAGTCGTTTCAAGGATCAGCTCAATCGAAGTACATTGTAAGTAGTTTAACTTGAAAGTTCCACTCCAGTCTGTTCAAACGCTGGATAGCGCTATCCACCGAATAAATTGTTAGTCAGTGGATTAATATTACGAAAACCAACTGCGTCATTCACTAGATAGTAATTTATCCAGTGGATAGCGCTTGCCACCTTTTCAACCTATGGGCCTGGTTCTTTCTTTGGTTAGAATATGACACAGTTATAGAGGTGACACACCGTAAAATTCCGAAAATAAATCCTGTGGCTTATATTTTTCAAAGGCCCTTTTTGAGGGGCTTATTTTTGGAGGGGCTTATATTCGGAGGGGCTTATCTACGGAGGAAAATTTGCGTTTCACAATCGATTGGGCTAACCATATAGTTGGAAGTAAATTTACCGTTTTTGCTTTGTTTCACTTTGTATTTGAGGGCAATTTTCCAAGTACAAGCCCCCGGGGGGCTTATATTTGGAGGGGCGATTTAACGGAGGGTTTTTGCGTTACCGGTTTGGGGGGCTTATATTTGAAGGGGCTTATACATGGAGGGGATTATTTTCGGAATTTTACGGTATGACACAGCTATAGAGCAGATATAGGTAAAATGTTTCTTTGTTCCATTGTTCTCCGCTCTTAGATCCTCCTTTGCTTGATTCCTCATATCCTCGAAATCATACAATCGCCGAAGGTAGTAACCTCACCCTTCTATGTAAAGTGACAGCTGCCAATCCTGAGCCAAACATCACGTGGTACAGTTTTATGTCAAATAACACAGCTCTATCGCATGGAGTCAACTTGACTTTTATTAACACCTCAAGAAATCATGCAGGGAAATATTATTGTGTCGTGGACAATCGAATTTACGGAGCGTTGACGTCAAGTGCCAGTACAGTCGAGGTGCAGTGTGAGTAGTTTTTTTCATATACGTAGACATAGACATAGCGTTTAGCGTCGAACATTTTGTAGATCTATGAAAGCTTGTTTTTGAAGCTTCAGTTTCTTGAGAAACTGTTAGACCGTCTTCTTTTCCGAGGATGACAATGTTCGGGTGGAATCAAGGTTTCACTTCGATCAAATGCGCATCTTTCGCTCCCATGCAAATCTTTGAAAACTGCTACCTACGTCTTTGCTTTAGGTACTTTAAGCCTTGGTTAGAAAACGATTTTGAAGCATAGTATTTTTTGCAACTAAGCTACTACTATTTTTGTCCAACGCTTACTTACAGATATTCCTTCATCCTGTCTCATCCACTGGCTCTTTCTGAGATTTATCCTGCAACGTTACTTTTAAAACGTCAAACCGCTTATAGATAGTTTGGGTGTAAACCACTTTTGGGTGACTGTGACGTCATCTAAAACTGTTCCAAGATAGCTGCCATCATGGACTGGTTAGCATTAAATATAGTTGGCACAGACACGAAAGAGACAGAGCCAAGTGTCTGCATTATAGAGCTGTCCCTATCACCGTAAGAGTAGTAAGGAGTTTGGCATCTTAGAGAAGCCAGCGATAGATTGGTGTCGTCAATATTATGGAACCTGCCCCTTATGAGAGGTTTGGGTTCGGCTGTACTCAATTTTCGTGTGCGACAAAACGATACTTTTTCCCTAGTTTGATTTTAACTACATCTTGTGATTGATTCCGCAGATCCGCCCTTATTGAATGCTAACCATCCTTATGATAACACCGTATTTGAAGGAGAAAACTTAACCCTTCAATGTAAAGTGACAGATGCTAATCCTCAGCCTAACATCACGTGGTACAGAGTTCCCAGAAGTAACACTGCATTATCATATGGAGTCAACTTGACCTTTATAANCTACATCTTGTGATTGATTCCGCAGATCCGCCCTTATTGAATGCTAACCATCCTTATGATAACACCGTATTTGAAGGAGAAAACTTAACCCTTCAATGTAAAGTGACAGATGCTAATCCTCAGCCTAACATCACGTGGTACAGAGTTCCCAGAAGTAACACTGCATTATCATATGGAGTCAACTTGACCTTTATAAGTGTCTCAAGATTTGATGATGGAAAATACTATTGTGTAGTGGAGAATGGCATTGGGAAGATCATATCAAGAACTTCATCTGTTAATGTGCTTCGTAAGTTATAGCGATACGCTTAGACTAATTATACCTCTATTAGAAGGAAAGAAATATTTCTCAATTTCTGTTTGGCTCAAAATCCCCCGGCTAATTGTTCACATCCAGCTGGCTTTGGCAAAATTTGAAAGACGATTGCGATATCCGGTAAAATTACGTCAATAGTACTGGATATTCCCCCAAAAACGAACGGCAACCGATAAGCCCTGGGTTGCATCAGCACAGTTTTACAGTTAGAGGCTGAGCAGGAGAAAATGGCTAAAAAGTTTACATGTTTTGCGAAGAAGAAGTAGCCGATTGTCTGCCTAAAAACATAGCAAGAACAACGAGAAAAAAACTCAACGGATGACATCTGCTTTTTGAAGAAAAACGTCAAAACTAAACTTCACTTTACATCCTGAATTTGCCGAGTAACAGACAAATAGGGACGGGGGGAACTTAACATCGATCTAGGTAAGCAGTATTTTAAAGTAAGAATTATTTTAAAGAAGAATAAAACAGTTATTGGATTTGACTTTCGTATGATCTGAAAAATTATGCAGATCATGGAGGGTGTTATCCGACGAGGCTATTATTCTATGCCTTATCCTCACACTTGATTTTAATTATTCTATCATAAAAAAGATATTTACCACTGATAATACATGTAACGGCATCATTATTTCTATAGATTCACCATCCCTGAACTTTAGCTATCCTCGTAGTCACACAGTTGTCGAAGGAAGTAACCTCCACTTGCACTGCGTTGTAACAGAAGGGAAACCGCGGCCTAACATAACATGGTATAACGCCCGTGCAAATAACTCGGAACTTTCAAATAGCACCAGCTTGTCGTTATTCAACATTTCAAGAGATCAAGCAGGGGAATATTACTGTGTTGGGACAAATGGCATTGGCCCAGTGGCGATTTCACGGATGGGTGTGGTCGATGTACAATGTAAGTAACCAAGTAGCCATCTTAGATTTACATGGAACAAGTCAAGCTGCAAATAGACCGATAAGAAACCTTTCCAATGAGTAGTTTTTGTCTTTGGAATGTTGTATGTTTCATGCAGGAAGGTAAATAAATCTCCATGTGGTCATGCTAAAGTCTTTCTTACTTCGGATCGCAAGCAGTTTACACGTTTATTGGTTTGTGTGAGGGTGGATTTCCACTGTCGCGTAATTTTTACGTGCGTACGCACGTCAGTTTTGTGGGCGTAAATAAAATAGAGACAAAAGAGAGATTTAGAGTGCCGTTTACGGCAAATGTCAAACTCAAGTCGAGAATTTCTCAAAATAGAAGCCGTTCAGCTAAAAACAGTTGAAAACAATTGTTAGAGACAAAACTAAAGTGAAGCAACTAATTTTGAGGTAGAGAAAATGAACAGTAAAGCGCAAGTTAAGGGACAAATTGGCTACGTGGTACAAATTTACGTTTGCCGTTTTCCCTAAACGTGACTCTAGATCTCTCTAATGACAGGCAGCGTATAAACATAAAAGTTGCGCGAGGTACAACTTTTACGTTTACGCACAGACTTTGACACATTGCCTCTATTTTATTTACACACGTAAAAGTTACGTGACAGTTCAAATTCACCCTAAGGGGTTGGATATTAACATTTAAAACCTAATTATTCCGGAGCGCTAACAGTTTACACCTTCACTGTATTTAACAATTATTCCACGAGTGCGCGTTGGAAATGAGATGGTAGTAAGCCAACGAGGCGCGTAGCGCCGAGTTGGCTATTGTCATCTCATATCCAACAAGCGTGAGTGGAATAATTGTTTTATTAAAAACGCCCACAAAATATCGAGAATTCTTCCCGTCTTTATTTGTAAAAACAACCGATTTTCAGCTTGTTTTTATTTTTGAGCAGACGTGTACAGTTACCATATTTGGAGAGCATGGTATAATGGCTCATATACCATGATGGCTAAGCCAATCAGAGCTCTAGAATCAGATTATCCAATGATTCAGGTTTTACTAAAAGAGGTTAAACAATGACTGATTAAGGCTGTTTGATTCACAGATTCACCATCGTTGATTGGAAGTCATCCCCTCCACAATACTTTAGTCGAAGGAGAGAATCTTACTCTTC